TGAGGCAATACAGTAACTGCATTATATACTAGAATTTTATTTGGAGTAATAAAGGGTCATTTACAATTATTTCAGACATTAATATTTTATTCTGTGCATTGGTTATGGGCAGTGGGAATACATAATCTTCCTCTCCTATTGTAAAAATGAATATTAATTTGTTTTCTTCAGAGTATCTACTGTAATTTAAATAGCTCCATAGATTTAGAAAGCTAAAGGACAAAGTAATTGATATATTTAAAGGCCACAAATGTCTCTAGTGTGTTTTGTGAGAAGAGGAATGCCCTATGTCTTTTTAAGATATTTTCCTACAAGGCATTTGCATTGAAACATGTTTCCTGAGTGGTGCTCTATTTATTTATAGTCAAACTCCCGTCCCTGTGTACCTGTAACTGTCCCTATTTAAGAAAATAGCAGAGCAATTATAATTCAGCCATCACAGATCACAGGTCTCTTCCCTAGTGTAACTGCTGGGGACTGAAACACTACTGTTATCTAAGACAGCTGGCAATTAGCAAACAGGGTGTTATTCAAGAATGATTTCCTCCTGCACAACAACAGTCATCAAATGGCAAATAGAGTTGAAGAAGAATATTTAGTCTGTTAATAAAAAGTACCAAACTCATGGGCAGCTATTAAATCATAGATAAAGACCTCCCAAAGAAAGAGCTTGTGAGAAGCAGATCAAATAGACCACACTAATCAAATAGACCACACTAAATATTTAATGTCATCTAAGATTACTAACTTTGACAAGGCAATGCTCATACCTTGTTTGTTCATTTGGCTACTTGAATCTGACTTCACTTACTCAATATGTTTTAATTTAAGTGACTTTTTTTTTCTACTATTGTTTTCAATGTTTCTGTTTTCTTCATAGCTAGTAGAGTGATCTAGGTTCCATAGACCACCACACAGTCACTCCCCAAACTGCTTTTGTCATCTAGCCTTGGCATTCTGGCTATTCCCAAATCATCATGACTGGGTAGGAAAATCAAGTTAGAAAAATCCAGTGTTTGTGTTCTGTTTAACTAAATGAACAAAACCCCATAAAATCAAATTTATAGATAAATACACTTAAAAGAAAATCACACATCTTTTAAGTTTTTCACAGTATCTTATTTGGCAAAATGCATTTTTATCTCCAGAATAACATGATATCATGCATACAAATCTGTCTACTTGATAGTTACATTTGACCCAAGTGACTGATACAAAGGAATCATCCTTGAAACAAAACAAAGCTCTGACGTCAAAGAAAACCCTTAAGAAACAAAATAAAGCTCTGATGTCGAAGAAAACCCTTGACAAACTGTAGATGATGAGGTATTCTTTCTCCATCATAAAGTTGCATCAAACTGTTGTATCTCATTCAGGATAATATTTTAAAATATATTTTAAAAATTAAAGTGAAAACACTTTGTTTTTAAAGAAAAAAAAATCCACATTTATGTGAATGGATAGTAAAGTTATTGAGCACTGTGTTATTCTAGATAATTCAGAAACTGAAGTGCAGTTGTCAATCTCTGTTGAACTCTGCTATGTCTATATATATAGCTACATAAAAGAGTAACTTGTTCGGAGTTAACTGAAACAGTCCAAAACAGAGGAGAACAGAGCAAACAATTCACCACAACAGGTATCTACAGTTTGTTCCCTCGTCCTTTATTATTTATCACTTCATATGTTCCCTTGAAGTTCTGCAAAGGCACACACAAAAAAATACATAATCCCCTACAGATTTAAGAGAAAATCAACAAATGCAGGAATTCAGAGGACACAATTCAAGATTAAAGAAAAATAATATCCCAAGGTTTGATACCTGCATATGGTGGCTGTCATGGCACTGTTTCAAAGATCACACATAGTTGAAAAGATTAGATGATGGAGC